TTCCTTCCTTCCTTCCTTCCTTCCTTCCTTCCTTCCTTCCTTCCTTCCTTCCTTCCTTCCTGTTGGATTTGGGAACGTAATCGATGTTAATTGTGTATATTTGCCTTGGATAATTGTTTGAATGGCTATCATAAAATGAACATTACCCATAACTGGTTATGTCAAAACTGGCAATGAAGAATGCAGGCTGGTGATTTTAAAGGAGTAGACTGTATTTGTTTTCACCTCTCACTTGCAACTCGTAGGGCTTGGTGAAGTAAAATCGTGTCTTTGCTTTTCTCTTCATATAAAACTGACAGTCGTGCTTTACTAAGGCAAACAAAAGAACCTATAGTTTTGATATGTAAGATACTAAGTTATTTAACTAATTCCATTAATGTGCCTTAAATTATGAGAAATTATGATTATTTCTTACTATATTTGATCTTTATCTTATTAAGTGACAATAATGCAGATGCTAAATGACACCTTCCAAACAAAACACATTCTAAATTTAATTACGCCAAGTGTAATCTCAGAAATCTAAACATATTAGCATATGAATATTTTAATTCTGCACAATAAATAGAAGCAGGCTGAGTTGTTACGTTACAAAAATTTGCAGATATAAGTTTTCTTTTTGTTGGACCTTTTTTTTGCTCTCCAGAACTAGATCCAAATTATGGGATTTTAACTTCACAGATAATCAATAATCCATAATTCAATACGCTTTTCCTCAAATGTAAATATTCTTCTTACTGGATCTACATTATTTAAATTCCAGACAATATTACTTGTTCAGCAATATGCAAAATTCTTATTACAGTCTGAGATGAGAAGACATGATCTTGAAGAAGCAGGAGACAGTTAAAAAATCCACAACTGATTTCAAAGCTGAACAATTCTTGACTGATTGAGACTCAGAAGGCATTAAGTGACATCAACCTTTATGACTACAGGTGAATAGAAAGTCTTTAATATTTTTGAAAAAGATTCTTGACCACTGATAATGACATAAAAACAAGGTAACCTCAGTGGTTTTGCATGCATTTACATGGATTCGAGCCTTATTTGCAAGGGAAACGAAGAAGAGTAGTAAATTTATTAGAAGATGCAGATGCAGTGGATAGTTTCAAAACTTAAAGAGGTTGGCTTATCCCCAGTATATACTCTCAGCTGTTTCAGTGATGCAATAAGTGACTTTGTCTTCATATAACTACCAAAATGTATGCACAAATTACATAAATAAAGCAGCGTAATGGCTTGCAACAAAACAATTTCTCAAAGGGTATTTAAAAGCGGTTTGAGAGCATTAGAATTGGGCTAATACAGTTTGTCTTGCAGTGTGATCTTTCCCCTCTTTGTGTATCACAGGGAAACAGTTAATCATTAATAATTCAGTTATAAAATTGCCTCACCGTGTGGCTTTCCACAGCAAGATCCAGTCGTGAAATTTTCCTCACAAGAGAATGGACAAAAAGTGTCATGGGATACATCAAAATCATTTGTTGCCGAAGAACAAGGTTTCTGAATCTGATTTCACCAGTCACGGTTTCTGTATAAACTGTTGCCAATAAACAGTCACAACAAAGGGAAAAGAAACCGTGCTGTGTCAGTGAGGGAAATGGATATTGAGATAGACCGAGGGGGAAAAAAATCCCACATGCTGTTACGTGATTACACAATAGAGGAACTGAGCCTGGTGTATCTTTTAGAAACCTTTTGCTACCTACATATGGGTATTTCAAAGTAAATAAAATATTGTGAAAGCCCTTTTTCCCTGTTCTGTTAGTGTACTATTGCTTTCTTTAGATTTTGTACATGGCATCTTGCCAGTGTATAGTTTCAGTTGTTAACTGATAAATGCCACCCCCACGGGTTTCTTTCCGGTCACTCTGCCGGTCTGAAACTCACAATTTCCACCAAGTTCTGGAGTTGGCTCTGTATTTGGTTCCGCCTAAATTCTTCTTATTTTTGTGCTTGAAAATTCAGGTAAAGGCTAAATATTTTATTTATCCAAACTTTTAATACTCAGCAATTTTCATCCTGAAGGGTCGAAATATTTTATAACTGCGACGTGCGGGCCTGGGCCCTCGGGGGTGGGGCGTCACCTGGTGGATTGCTGACGTCATAAATTGAGTCTTGCGCTGAATCACAAAATATTAAATTGGAAGCGACCCACAAGGCTCATCGTGTCCTTATGCACCTGCATCTTAACAACCTTTACATTGGTCTCCTGTACATAAGGATTAGAATTCATCTTTTAAATGCATTATGACCTTTTGCTGAGACCATGTCCATCCAATGGAGAAATATGCTCTCATTGTCTCTTGTGCTGTTTCCTCTCTACTTTGCCTGATACTCGAGTTAAGACTATCTTTGATTCTYCTTCTATACAATAACATCAGCAAAAAAACCCAGCAGCCTTGTTCTCCCTATCAGTTTCTCTTCAATTTCTCCTCTCTCTGTTAGCAGCTCTTCCCAGCCCTTCATCCTAGTCTCTTCGAATCAAATAGTACTTTGCCCACTACTTCTCTGTGGGAATCATTGAACAAAATGTAACACAATTCAATCATATGGAAAAACGTATTTAAAAGCATGAATGGAAACAGAATCAAGGATATTGTAAACAGCAGCAATAGAACTCTCTACAATTTAGGTGCCACCCGGCTAGTTTCTAACCAGCCTGGCTAGTCTTACACGTGTCCCGGATCTGTCAGACCTATTAGGCACGGACACGCTGGACTTGTATGCGTTGTAGCCCCGAGCCAGGGTGGCTGGTTGTGTTTTCTTTTTCTTTTTTTCTTTTCCTTTTTTTAAAAAAACTTTTTTCTTCCTTCCTCTTCCCGTCTTAAAGCATAGCCAGACCGTCGGACACTCCTTTATCGGACTCGCAACCGCGTGATCTACGGCACTCACCGTGATAAGGGGATTCAGGAAAGCCCCGTCCCAGACTGCTGACAGATGGATGTTGGACGAGTAAAATACTGAGGCTCGTGACTACTATGATGCAAGTCTAGACTTCTTAGTAATAAAATAACCTGCCTTCCTCAGAGTCTGGTTCATAAACACAGTGTGAAGTCTCTGCTATATTCTGTGGTGGGCAGGAACACTGGAAATCATAATTACTTAGGATCGTTTATCTAAAATCTCTCTGATTATGTGAAGACTTGGCATTTTAAAAATTTGCGAAAATTATCTTCTGATTTGCTACATCACGCGACATTTCCCCGTCAAGTAAACATGCTTGTCAATACCCGTTACTTTCAAGAGGACAAAACTCAGGCCTCGATCCAATTAAAACGATTGGCAATTCTGTTGCATTGCCATCGAGGGGGCTGTGTCCAGCATCCCCATCCCGCCGTGTCCTTCAGGGACAGGCTGCCGTACCTGGTCACGAGAGACCGGGGAATTAATTTACAGTACAGGGCTCAGGCAAGGAAGAGGCTGCGACACAGAGAGAAAACTCAAAGACCCTGTTGCTGTKTTCAGGCTGAACGTGGAAGTCGATTCCGATGTCTCTGGGGCCGCTGCTCCGCGCACGAAAACGAATCCTGTCACGACTGCGAGGGTTTTTCAGCTCTCGCCCGAGCCCCGCGGGTGCCGCAGCTCCGCCCGCCCTCAGCCCCGCCTCAGGGCTCCGCCGCTGCGCGCGGTGATGCGGGGCCGGGCCGCGCGGCCGAGGCTCTCGCGAGAGTTGGGAGCAGCGGTGCCTGGCAGCCGAGCGGTCTCGCGCCGCCGCCATTGTGCCGCGGGAGCGGCGCAACCGGGCGTTGCGGCCCGGCCTGCGCGGAGGCCCCGCCGTGACGGTGAGTACGGACCGGCCGCGTTGACCGACGCGGACCGGGTCGCGCCCGCTGCGGGGTCCGGCCCTGCCCGATGGCCTCGCTCCGGGACCGGGGGAACCATTTTGTGCCGTGCTGGGACGGGCCTACCCGCCCTTCTCTCCGCCATCGCCCCCAATGGCCGCTGGGCTCCGCRCCCGCTCTCGGAGCGAAGCGGTGTGACACCTGCCGCCCCCCGTTCCTCTCCGCCCCCCTCGCGGCCTTTGCCCGGCGGTTGGGGCCAGATGCTGCGGGATCGGGTGCGGCCGCGGGCTCCGGCCGGGCCTGAGCCGTGCGGGCCGCTCCCCGGGGCCCGGCGGGGGAGGCGCGGTGCTCTCCGCGCTTCTGCGGAGCATCCGCTGTCTCCGGGCTGCGGGAATAGCCCTGCGTTACGGCACCAGCCGCTGCAGCGTGGGCAGTCATCGGCATTTGTAAATATTCTTGCTTCTCATTGGATTGCTGAGGCCGCCGAGTTATTTGTCTGTTTTACTGCACTGAAGATTGAGGAAGTAGCCTCAACGAAAAACTGCACAGTCTGAAAGAAAGACTCGTTCGTGAGCTCCATTTTGTTTGTCATAAAAACGTGATTGTGAGTAAGCCCCGAGGAAGACACGTGAGCACAAATAGATCGAGTGAAAATCTTCCGAATAGTTTTACGTTAAACCGCATAGGAACACGTAGGCATGAGAGCACGAGTCTTACATAGAAGTGTCACTGCATAGTTCCAAGTTAGAAGACTTGAATTTAGGAGCAGGTTGTGAAACTCATGCTTCCTTCTGATGGAGTGTACAAGAACGCTTAAAACCGGTAGTAGAAATCACAGAAGCTGGCAAAGGCTATACTTACCGGTAGGCATAACTAATTGAGATTACTCCTTTTTCATCAGTAGAGAGGGTCTCAGCAGGAGAGAAATACTTACTCTCTGTGTTACTTTTGAGATTACATTGCTTTCCCCAGGGACCTCTGGATCTTTTTTTGCTTTGTTGTCTCTGTCCATGACTATGTTAGGTAGGTTGATCTTTTATAATGCCGTTGGAGGGATGGCAGATCAAGAAAGGCAGGACATTTGATCTGTGAAATGCCTCGATACGGTTTTGTCTGTTCAACTGCATCTCTCCCCATCTGGGTAAGACTATGAGGAAAAGCTGAAATAATTGGGGTTGTTTGGCCTGGAGAAGAGAAGGCTCTGAGGAAACCTCACTGCAGCTTTTCAGTACTTTAAAAGGGCCCATTATAAAGATGGAAACAGACATTTAGTAGAGCCCGTTGTGATAGGACAAGGTGTAAATTTAAGGAAGGCATTTTTGTGATGAAATACGGGCACAAATTGCCCAGAGAGGTGGTAGATGATCTGTTCCTGAAAACATGCAAGGTCAAATGGGATGGGACTCCCGATTCATCTGATCTGTGTGAAGATGTTCCTGCTCATTGCAGGGTGGTTGCACTAGATGTCCTTCAACTATTCCCTCCAGCTCAAACTATTCTCTGATTTCTGCAAGTTGGATTGCAAGTAAATTTTATCAAGGATGCCCAGAAATTGAAGAGCTTTTGAGTAGCATATTTTGAAAAATTATTACTCTTAATGACCTGTCACTGGATCTCTGTTGAAAGGTGAAGGTAAAATCCAATTTCCTTGAGCAGAAGTTCTTTGCCTAAACGATAAGGCCTTTTATTCAGTGTCTTTTCACCTCTGCATCAGACACGGCAGATGTCAAATGCATGACTCTGCTTGATCTTTACAGCAGATCCTTCTGCTTTGCTGACTGAGGCCAAGACAGCTGAAAAAAATGTAAGGTTATATTCCAGAAATTAATCACAGTGTGTATACATAAACTGAGGCATTAAATGTTGCCTGTTTTATCCTGCTGACTTGATTTGGTTTCAACACCTTTCTTTGGGTAGTTTCTTCAAAATTCCTTTACTTAGAGAAAGAAAATATTAGATAGATAGTATTATCCTGACATACTTCAGTTGAAATCACAACCTGTGCTGATTTAGAAGTTTAGGGTGATGGATATGGTTGTCCTCTCGGGGCTACCACTGAAGGAGAAAATTAGTCCAGTGCCTATTTATGTGTATCTGTAGAAGCACTTTGCTAATTTTGGACTCCATTTCAGCTTCTGCAGGTAGTTGGCTCTTGTGTCTAGTCTTCGACCCTGCTCTCTTCTGTCTTAATGATCTTACTTTTTTCTGTTATGTGGATGGTGCACAAGCGATTTTATTAGTATTAGGTGATCTCTCTAATTTGGTCTTTGAAGTTGTTCTAACACTTCTGTCTCCTCTGCTGTTTCATCTGGACATTAATTCCTACTAGTAAGAGCTTCCATCTCTTCTTGAAACTTCGCATTTTCTATGTWCAGCAGTGTCTGACTTTTATCTGCGTTATTTAATTTGTCCTGTTCCATTTCTGAATCCAAGTGATTCAGAAGCAGAAAGCTCCATAATAAAGGAGATAATGCTGGTACTCTTTGTCGGCTATTTCATAGTACAGAATTGGATCCATTATTTTGTGTATTTTTTTCCTTGTATTTTATGAAGGTAAAACATTGACAAACAGTCCTTTGAGTATCAGATCTCATCAAAACTACCGCTGTACTGTCCAGCATACACTCTATATTACTGTGACATTGTTTTAGCCTCACAGTTTGCAAAAAACTAAAGTTGAGTGATTTACACTCGGTGCAGCTTGATTCAAGTACTAAACTTGTAGTACACATTACAGCAGATTACTCTGAAGGTCAATTTAACTGTCATTATAGTTTAGGAATAATTACGATTGTTACATTTTATTGAAGTAATGATCCACTCGAAGTGGTGTTGTTTAGATAATTACATTTGTTCTCAATTTCTTTTAAACTTCCACAACTTACAGTATTCTTTTGAACTCTGGAGTACCGCTTAGAACATTCTTATTGTCAGAGATGTGTTCACAACTTGAGAATTGCATAAATTGCTCGGTATTTACCCAGGGTTTCAAATGTGATCTGGGAAATYAAATTATTTCATTATGTCAGTTTATTGATACAAAGCTGGGCAAGTGAGCGTTTCAGATTTCTGATCAGATGTTGTTTAACTGGTGACAGTTCTGGCAAATATGAATTTGTTACTAGTGTTGGAAGCGTGGTCTAGAAGCTGGTGTAGAATAAGCTGGTAGCTCTTTTGTACACAAAAGCAAACRGTCATTTAAACTCAATATACTTTATTTTTTTAAAGTCCTACTTTCAAGATTAAGCATTTTGGCTACTTTGTGTTTTGACTGTTGTCAAAAGCTTGCTAGTAACTGAATATGCTTGAGAATAGTGGTTAAGGGAACTAACCTCATCTGTCCGGACTGTTTGGTCAATGGACTTCTGTACAAACTGGCTTTTACCAGGTAGAGTATTTAATGCAGCATTGGCAAAGATTAGAAGTCCCCAGTACATGAACTCGCCTTGACACTGCAGCCAAACATGAGGTGTGTCAGGATTGATGTAGCAGCCTTTTTCGGAATGTGATACTGATGAACGTGGCTGAATTGTGGGAAAGATGGGTTTTATTGATGGTGAGGTGTTTTTTTTTTTATTTTTTTATTTTTGGGTTTGGTTTTTTTTTTTAATCAATTAGCTTACTCCTATCCTCAGATTAGGCCACAATTAAAAGTGGTTAAATAGACTGTACAGCTTCTGCACATCACCTTGTATCGGTGGCATTCTTGGCCATCTGTTTGAGTTGTTAGGTAACATGCTACTCTTCGTGTACCGCACCGCTGAGGATACTGCAGTTACCTTAAATTTTTTATTTAAGAGCTATCGCATGTGGTCTGATTCTTGTCTGTACTATCCTGAGGAGGAAGCATTTAGCTGTCTGGAGTTTTAGAGAAATGTTAATTCAGATACTTTTTCAAGGACAGAGATGACCGTAGGAACGATTCTCATAGGGAAAAGGTACCAGCATTTCTTTTGAAATGTCTGGAAATAGCATATAAACACTCAGCGAGTGAGAAGTAAATTTATAAATACAGCTATGAGATAGCCTGTACTGCTTTGCATATGTTAGCTTCCATGGGAGTTGGCTTTGGACAAGTTGAAGGCAGGTAGTCTGCAGATACGTTTTTTCACAGAAGGGTGAACTTAGATAATTTAGACCTGGAGGAATGAGTCTGAATATGATTTCTGCAATTGTTGAGATGCAGTTAATTAGCAAAACCATAATACATGAATTTAAGAAGTTTGAGTACTCTATTCCTGACTCATTTTGTGTTAATACAAGCACCGTGTAGTTCTTAAGGGAGCACATCTTATATTTATAATAGCAAGAATATATTGTACCAAAATTATAACTTTGGCAAAAGGGATTGTATTTCTAGTTTTCTAATGTGGGATGGGAGGATATGTAAAGAAGAGGTTAAAACAAAAACTAGGAAAAGGACTTGTTTCCCCATTTTACTATACACAGTCAGACCCAAGCACTGTGTAAATATTTGTATGTGTGAATCATATTTATGTTACTCTTGGAGTGACTTGTGCCTGTTTTGTATGAGTTCCCTGCCTCTATGAGAAAAATGATCAATATGCCCTTGTGCAGGATGCAAAGAATGGAGTCAAAACCCTCAAGAATTCCTCGCAGGATAGCCGTTCAGACTTCCAGCTCTCCTCTAGGATCTGGGACTGGAAACAGTTTGTCTGGTGCATATAGTACAAGAGAATCTTCGTGGAGATTAGAATCTGGATACCAGGTAATGTTTTTTTTTTTCTTTCCTATTGTGAAGTATAAATAATTTTGAAGTGTGTTTTTTACCAAGAAAAGCCCCAGAAGTCAGACAAAGAAAATTTCTACAATGGAAGGATTTCCTAACCAGGCCAATGACAGTAGCACTAAACTGGTAGTTCTAGGTTTTCTGGTTTTACCTGCTCTTGTTTTAGCTGCGCCTTTAGAAAACAGCTGTTTGATGAATGAGAGGACATCCTGCTAATAATGGATCTATTTTCTTATTAGTCACTGCCATATTAAACCTGGGTTGATGGAGTTTTCTGATGAGGGACAGGTGAGGATTTTGTTTGAACTTCGTCGCGTATAGGTCATTACACTTGGCGTGTCGATGCTAAAGGTATGGGATTACACGGTGAGTTAACGAGGCCGTACTGTTCTGCAGCACCTCTTGCGTTTATATTTTGCCAAGGTACGAAGAGGAGCTTTAGACTCGCATCAGGCTGTTACGTCAGTATGTTAGTACAGCTTGGCTTTGTGTGCAATCCATTTGCTGTTTCACTAGCAGTATTTCACACTAACCAAACTACTTTTATTGGGGAAGGGAGATGTGCTCAAGAGGAGGTATTCACTCTGTGCAGGTACTTTCAGTTTGGGAGAGCATTATGGGAAGCAGAGATTAAACTACTTTAGAAATTATTCTGGGCACTTGGGAGCAACAAATATTTTGGTCCAATTATCCTAGGGGTTTTTTTTCTGCTGCTGTCAGCAATTCTTGCCTCCATTTTGGGCCCAGAAATATAAACCCATTTCGATCTTCAAAATTGCAGAAACTTAATTCTGTGATTAAGTGTTCACATTTATTTTAAAAAATGGATTTTTGGTCCCTGCTGGCAAGCTATCTGGGACATTGTATTATATAATGCCTTTTTGAGAAACAGTTTTACAGGTAATAGAATGTTATTTTTAGCACAATTAAGTGTACGTGTGTTACATTTTTGTTATCTCTAGTATGCACGTGCTTGTTATTATATAAGCTATAGGGAAAGTACTAGGGGAGGGAATTGTCAGTCATTTTTGCATGTTGTAGTCCTACATGTTTTTCACTGTCTGCTCAGCAAAAGCAAATCAAACAGTCTCGCTCTTCCGTAGAGATTTATGGACGCAGTCCACGCATGGCGTACGTGTATTGTAAGCTGTCGATCGGGAGTTTTCAGCTGAAACTGGTGCTGTGACGTTTGACATGTTACCTCTGTTAAAAATTTTAACAAAACATACCTTACATTGTTTATTGCACAAACTGCAAGGTGTTCACTGCGCTGCATTTTCTTTTGACTATTTCCCCTTCAGCAAAGCGTTTCTAAGCTGCGGAATGATCTTTATGACACTTGCCAGTTATAACAGAAGGGAAAATATTTGTGTAGAAGATTATGTTGTATCCCTTTTATCCACTCCCAGTTTGTACAAGGTAGTCTGAGAGCTTGTTACATGAGACTTRTGCTTAGTAATAAAATCATAGGGAAACTCCCTCTCTTGACTAACTTATGGCACTTACAGAGCTGGTAGGAACAAATTCCTTTATTGCTTGCAGCTTAGGATTACAGAGACAGAAGCAAGAAGGTTAAGTTTAAGGCTAGTCAGATAGGAATGCAAATGACAGGCATTTTCACTTCGTTAATCTATTCGAAAGCATACCTTAAGATATTTAGGCGCTATTTCAGTTACAAATGATTTAAAAGATATCACTTAGAAGAAAAAAAGTATCACTATCAGTAATGCTTTAGATATAAAGAGGACTTGGATTTTTCATACAGAATTTCTATAGAGAGAATAATTGTAACTTAACTCAAGAAAGTCTGGGACAGAGCAGTCAAATTTGTATTTGTTTTTGATTAGGGCTAAAAGATCAAAACTGTTTATATGGGGTGGGTATATTCTGCTTCCCTTTTTTCTTTTTTTTTCACGTAAGTATGAATTCTTGTATGTCACGCTCTTTTGAGATCAGTCTGGGTACTAGCCTCTGCTTATCTGAGGAGGCATAACCAAGAGATTAATTGTAAACTAATCAGATGCATGTGATAATGTTGTTGCTAGGCGACTTTAAAATGCAAWAATCTAACTAGTTTAAGGGTGTAAGAAAAAAATTCCTACACTTCATGATACAACTTAGTATACATTTTATGATAAAGGAAATACGTATTTTTTAATGGAGGGATAGCGTATAAAATTGTTTCGAATGTTTTCCCGATCGTATTTTTCAGCTACGAAAGCGGACACCAAAACCAGAGTCCCTTACGTAGGACTTGAATTGTTAAGCTCTCACGAGGGATGTTAAATAATCGCAATCTGAAGCGAAGGAAGAAAAGATGATTTTTATTGTTTTGGTTTGGTTTTGAGTTTTCATTATTGCTTAAAAAAAATGGTAACAGCCACTATTGTGTTTTTAGTATTAATAGTTCTTAGAAGGGGAACAGATCAATAATCACTTAAAAATGCTGTCTAGTGTTAATAAAATGGTTGGAATTCTTTTATTTATATTGATTTTACTAATCTCCACGGTTATGCTCTTGACCAAATAAATTGCAGTGTCTTTCCTCAGTTCTAATGTATTCATTCAAATTCAGCTTGTTTTAGAGGCCAAAGAGGCGCTTTTGTGGTCGCACGTGGGTTTTTTCGCGTAACACCAGAAAGCGAAGCCTTAATTCTGCCCTGTTGCTGCAGTATTTAAGTCGGGATAATGCCTCAAAAGCCTTACACTTCAGCTTTTCATTGTCCTAGGTCAAATGAGAGGACAGATGAACAAGGTGCTATAAAGTACATTAAACAAAAAATATCTTTCCTTTTGCCAGTGAGTCTCTCTTAAGCCTGTGTCATTTCTTGGCTATCCCTTGAGGTGCGTTATCAGAGGTTTCCAGATTCGTTACTACCTTAGCTTCCCTGTATTTTCAATATTCATATCAGATACTCAGTTGTTTTTGAATTATGAGATGCATCCAATAAGCATGGTTTTCTTTAGGAATCCAGTGTATGGAATAGTTCCAGCAGAGACTGGAGAATCGGAGAAGGAGACACCYGTGATACTCCTTGGAAGCTGCCAGCGTCATCTCCAACTCGCTACTCAGGGACACTCGATCATCCACATTCTGGAAGATTTTTGGGAAGCAGAAGCAGATTGGTGAGAACTGTTCATGTGTGATGCTGGAAAGAAAATATTGAAACCCCAGGGTTTTACTGTAGCCTTCCCAATCTGGAAAGCTGCTAGCAGGGGCTCACTGTAAAGTTTCTAGAAGAGTAGATCTTACTAATTCAAGTTGGAGCAAAAGCTAGAAGATAGCAGTGTTCAAAAACATTCAGAGGATGAAAATAGTGATTCATATTAGTTTTAGTAGGAGTTTAATTTGAGGTCAGCAGCTTTTCAAAAGTCCATTTAAAAACAAAAAAAAGAAGGGGCGATTAGAATGTCATACATGTTATAGTCCCGTGGATGGCGAAGTCGACATACTTGTTCCATTGGGTATTTATTACAAGGCATACATTTTTTTGGATAGTACTAGCTTTGTGAGTTGACACAAAGTGCAGGGGTTTGGAGGTAATTTAATCGTGAGGTGTAGTTCATAGCCCGATCACTCTTGCTCACGTGCTGCTTACAGCATACCGTGAAAGAAAATAAATGCTTGATGCTTACCTGACATTCAAGACTCGGGCCTTTACAGTTTGTCTTAACTGGGTTGTAAAATGTGCCTTCGTAACTCCAAGATTAAAGTAATTTGCTTGTGACATGCCTATGCATTGTAGAGTGACAGTGAAACACTTTGAAGCACAGCAGAAATACTGAGATTGGAAAAGCAGAAGACCGAACAAATTTGGCGTACGATAGTGAAGTAAAAATTTTACTTGCTTTCAAAGTGAAAGATGTTTGGGAACGTAAGAGCGCTCACATCGTTAAACAGGTGTTGCTTTTTCTTAGGTGACTTGAAAGTGAAGACGCAGATAGTGGGGTTGGGGAGGGAGAAACCAGCGTGYACACATTGGCCTTCAGGGGAAGTCCCGCTCGGTGCATACGTACAGTTTAAATGCAAATGGAATCTATTGTTCTGAGCGCTCTACGTACCTAGTTGAGTTGGTGCTATAGAATTTTCAAGATGAAAACACATGTTTTCCCCATTAAGGTTAATTATTCTCTTAAAGTAAATTGTAATACGCGCGAACCTTTTGGAAGACCCTCGAAATTTCCACATATCAAATAGGATATGATTAAAAGATAAGTGGCATGTTAAATAGAAGATTAAGGAGGGAAGGTAACCTGTCTTTTTACTTGGTTTCCGATGTTAGTTTCTGTCTCCCTATCTGTCTTTTTGACACGATGGGATGAGCGAAATGCGTGAGAGACTTCTTAGTTTAAAAGAGTAAAGAATTCTGGCTTAAACTCAGTAAAGTAAGTAAAAATAAAACGGAGATATAACATACTCAAATTTTGTTGATCCGTAAAGGAGGATCTCGGTTGCAGATAGTTTCTGGGAGCACGAACGGCTCAATTCAGCTTTTCGATTGTGCTCAAAGCATTTCAAATAGAAAATTAATGCCTCAACTGCAGGTAACCGGACGAACAGCTTTGTAGGCTATTCTGAGCTTTATTTTGTAACTACTACGGTGCTAGTTTCTGAAAACTTGTATTTCAGTGGTGTGCACTGCAAAAATTGTTTTGTACCTGCTCTTTACTCTGAACTTCAGTTGCAATAAGCCTGAGCTTATTGCAATCAAAATATAYTTGTTCAAACAGTTTTCTTTATGCTCACTCCTTAGCTATTTATATTCTAGGCTGATAAAGAATAGGTCGGATTGAGGTAGCTGGTCGGTTTTGGCCATTTCTGGACGCCAAAATGCATTCCCTTGGACATCTGCAAAGCTATATTTGATTGTGTTTATAGCATCTTACCCACCAGGGATACAATTGTTTTCCCCTTTTTGCAATAGCTTTTTTGTTGTAAGCCACATCTATCTGTAAAGGAAAAATAACACTGAACATTATAGAAACTGACTTGTGTTGGTAGGACTGTATTGAGTAAACCTGGAAATACTAATCGAGAATGCATGCATAATTCCTATGTTACTTTTAAAGAAAAGGGTTTATATCTGAAGTTATTCCTTACAATTGTTGTGAGTTTCACATTATGTATACTTTTGCACAGTGTAAGTGTATCTGATATTGTATGTAATTTATTTCTGAATTTATTTCAGTCTACATCTTCTTCCTCTCATTTTACATCTGGGTGTTATGGTGAGTCTGAGAGAACTCAGGGAGCATATTCAAGACTGCATAGCCAGCAGCAAGATAGTGATTCAAAGAGACCTAAGCTATCTTGTACATCTACCTCTTCTGTGAGAAGTAATGGCTTGACTGTCTTTTCAGGTGAGAGGTTCATTACTTTAGCTGAGTTATACCAAAAAGTGTCTGAGTCGTAAGATCAGGTTTTATCGTATTTTAAAAGACTTGCTTTCAGTATTAGGCTTTTATTTTTCTTAAATAATAAGAACTTACGCCTACCGGAAGAGCGTGTTCACAATGACAGCAGTATCCGAAGTTCTAAGTATGCCGTTAAATGTGGTATTTTGAAAATCAAATTGTATTTGTGTCATTTCAGAATTATTACCTGTACCTATTCCATCTGTAGTCAAGCTGAACTTTATGGCTCAAATGTGTTTTAATTGGTTAAGATCTCTATAAAAGAATGAGTGCAGCCGCCCTATTTCACGAGTCAAATTGTGTGGATACATCGATGTGTGACAAACAAAATCTTTACCATACTTAGCAATATGTTTGAGCACAGTGCCACGGCCGGTTCGAACACTGTTGCGAGGGGTCGTGGAAGAAATCGTTCCTTTTCTAGCAGGGCCTAAACTCATTCTCTAGGTCTGCCTGATAGAAACATTCTACACTAAGGGCTCTTTCAGGAAAACCTGAGATTTTCATTGAAGCTACGGGGRAGTTTGTGAAACTTGGATAGACAGAAGTCATGCAATATGCCAAAAAAAGTTTAAAGCTCAGRAAATAACAGTCAAAACCTTATAATGAAAGTATTTCTAGAACATTTTGAAGCAGAACATTAGATTAATTCAGGTAACCCATGTGAGTATGGATTAATGGGGTTTTTTTTATATCCCCTCACGGAACTGTGCAGCCATCCGAATAAAAACTAGTAAATTCTTGCTCAAAAACCCCAGTATTATTGATACTTTCTTACTCTGTTAATGAAATGACAATCATCAATATTTCTCGCTATGGTGTAGGACTGTTTAACTTTCCATTTCTACGTTGGTTGGTCATCGCACTGCCGACTAACGAGCGCTTAAATATGGTTTTGAAAGTTAGCAATGGAACAGTATCAAGGTGAATTTTTCAGAACCCTTGAGAAGACTTTTGGAACGAGAGTCTTTGTTTCTAAACAAAAGACAAGATCCTTTTTTATGCCGAAGTGTTTTGCTCTGTAATATGAACAAGAACGGTATCGGTCCCTGTTTTCCAAGTTCTGTCTAAACTCCATTTAAGCTTAATCAGCTTATTTTTATGAGAAATGGAATTTAATTTGTTCAAGTAGAACGGCAGCATTTCCTAAGTCTCAAGCTGCCGTTTTGCTACGTTGCGAAACCTATTTGAAAACTAGCTACCATTAGGAAGCAAGATGCTACTTCTCTTCCTCTTCGTCCCGTGAGTGTTAATGGGTCTGACTGCTCACATGAAAGTATTATTACTTCTTGTTCGATTTAACTTTGAGAAACTAACTTGCTGAAGGGTGGATCAAGTGCCAGCATCAGTGGAATGCTCTCGGCTTTATGTCGGCAGCTGGGCACTCGGTCGGCTTAGCGGTAATGTTAAACGCGCCCTTGATGTGAATGACGCCCTTGATGATGCTGCATAAGTGCCAGCTTTGATGGATTTTTAGATTGCTACAAAAACAGGAGATGTATTTACTTTTGCTTTCTAGATTCCTCGTGGAGATGCAGTAGAATTCCTAGATCTTCATCGGTAATGCTCGGCTCCCTTGGAACTGATCTGGTGGGAGAGCGAACACAGTTAGAAAGAAGAACGGATCTGTCCGTTAATAACCTGGTGGATCCCAGCTACAGAAACAATGACTTTTCACCTTCAACATGTACGTTTCGTATAACCGAAAGYTCGTAAACCTGCGGTTTGTACGGATTTTAGTTTATTGACGTGTTCATAGATTCACAGAATTATTAGTTTTGTAAGGGACCTTTTGTTCCACGCCCTGCTGTGGAAAGGGACACCTTCCACTGTCCCGGGTCGTTCCGAGCCTAGCCGACCTGGGCTCGGACGCTTCTGGGGGTGGGGCATCCAAAACTTCTCTGAGTATGTCCCTCTAATATTTTATTGAAAACAAATACCAAATATATTTTAAAATAAAACAAACACCAAATATATTTTAAGAATATTTAATATATTCTTTTAAATGAAGTTTATCGGCCACTTTTCATGTATTGTCCAAACCATTGAGGCATATACGAACGGTCTAGAATGTAGATTCATTCACTCACGTGAAAGCGGTGTTGGTGTTCGCCACTGTACCTCTGTGATTAGTGAGTAAAGCTCTTTTCTTCTTCATCTTAAAATCTCTTTGTGTTTAGGTATGGGAAGAGAAAAACCATTGATTTCACCCAGGAAAGATTTTTCTTAATGGTGCAAATTCTCTCTTTTTATTTGGCTTCTCAAATGGTTATTAGGGAAAACTGCTAGACCGCTGAAAAGAAAAATGAGTAAACACACACTTTACATGAGGTGAGAGCTTTGTCTCGTGGCAACTTCTAGGACCAGTTAGGACTTCTGCGCTGTCATTCGCGCTTTCCATTTGGAGTGTCATGGCCTTCTGTAGCTGTCTCGGGGAAGCTCACCGTTAGTCACGATGTGCCACCTTTTGCAGATGAATTAGTGGTATTTCATAACGGAGAAATTTTRAAAAATGCCATTTTTATAAGTACAGAAGATAAGCAGAAAAGATAAAGAGTACTTCCAGAAGCTATCGTGCAGTCTCGCTCAACAGAGGATTAGGTTTTAGGGTCACGATACTCTAATGCTTTTTAATAAGTTAAACTACCAGGTAGAGCCTAGTGGGAGAACTGGATTGGTGAGCAGCCTTGCTTTCTACCGTCCACGCTGCTTTTCTCACAACAGCGCTGCTATTAAGTGCTATAAAATAACTCCCAGCTGTGCTCCCCGATGCGTAATCGAAACCGTACGGCAGACGCGTGGCCTCTGCGCAGACGTTTCATTGGTTGGAATCCGCCGCCTAAATAAATCTCACCTTCGTCGGTAAATGGTGATTGCGATGCAGAGCCCATTAAAAGAAAGTCACCAGAACCACAAAGATGAAAGTTTTCAATTCCAGAATACATAGAGAGAGCATCTGTTTCCTGCCCTTATCTACGCATGCTTGTTCCTTCCACAACCCACAACCTACTCACGACCCCCAAATGCAGCCATTTGAGGAAGGAGATTAGCCGCCTCATTGTGTTTAGATACTGGGACAGCGGTTTTGGGAAAATACGCTCGTGAGACCCATAGAATGGTTTGGGTTGGAAGTGACCTTGGAAGTCCTCCAGTCCAATTCCGCTGCAATGAGCAGGGACATATTCAGCTAGGTCAGGGTCAGCCTTGTTTAGCCTGACCATGAATGTTTCCTGATGGTTTGAGCTCGTCACAGCATTTTCTTCTGCTTTTCTGCAACAGATCTTCGAGACAGGCCTGCCTCTTCATATGCAGAGGGAGCAAGACCAAAAGAGAACTCATTAAGCGCTTTGAGGCTGAATGCATCCGTGAACCGCCAGTTGCCTTCTGATCATCAGCCWTCTTTTTTCAACAGAGACTCTAACATGAGCTCTTCAAGATCCAACTATTCAAGACAAAGGAGAAATGAATTGGAATCTCCCCAGAGGAGCGTGCAGCCAGCATTTTCTCTTACTGCCATTAGAGATGAGACCCCTTCCTCGAGTGGTTCTGAAAGGGTTTTATCTTCTCAGAGGTCGCTGAACGAGCCTGCGGCTGATGGTGAAGGGAGGCGCACAACCAGACAGTTGCTGTCTCGTTTAGCATCGAGTGTATCATCTACATTTTTCTCTCGAAGGTCTAGCCAAGACCCATTGCATACAAGATCATTAGGCGCTGAAGAGTCAACGGTGGTCCCGAGGGTTCAAGCTACCACTCTGACGAGTAGTAATGGAGCTGCGACTCCGGAAGTTCCAGGACTTCAGTCATCCGAAGCTTCTCAGGGGTTTAGCTTTCTTGGACGACGATGGGGTTTATCGGGAGTTTCACACAATCGCAGCTCCGAATCTGACGGAGAAAGTTACAGACCAGACACCGAAAATAGAAGCACGGGATCCTGGTTGTCATCCTCTTTGAGGAATAGATGTACGCCTCTCTTTTCCAGAAGGAGAAGAGAAGGAAGAGATGAATCCGCAAGGATCTCTACCTCTGATACGACCGCTAGATCGCAACACGTCTTTAGAAGGAGAGAATCGGGTGAGGAGACATCTCTCGAAGCATCAGATCACCCTCCTCGGGCTTCCGTTAGCAGACCACCGACACCCGCAGTATCCGGTATTTCTATGGCTACGGCCTCCCCACCGGATTCAGCTCACAGTAGAAGAAATTTGGGAATCCTTCCCGGTTCCCTCTTCCGCTTTGCAGTGCCTCCAACATTAGGAAGCGGTCTGTCTGACAATCTTATGATAACTGTAGATATTATTCCTTCTGGGTGGAATGAGACTGATGGACAAGAAAGTGGCAAGTCTAAAATACCGCCATCGAGAGATCCAGAAAGACTCCAGAAAATTAAAGAAAGGTGAGTTACTATGTTCTTTTCGAGATAGTAGAATGTACCTGTCTTAACATGAGAGGGCTTTCTGCAGTCATGATTTTAAAAGAAAACTTCCCCTCAGAGGAGGCAGCAGCTTAGTCCCCGTCACCCGTATCCTCGCTTTTCTTTAAGAGTTTCTTTAAAAGCAAATTGTTTTGATTCTCATAGTTTGATAAATGGAATTTTCATTATAAAAAGTCCTACGTGAAATGTCACAGCATTTGTTGGTATTCTATCCTATTCAGCCTGCTTTTAGAAGACTCTGAAGATGAAGAGGGTGACTTATGTAGAATCTGTCAGATGCCCTCTGCAAGTTCTGACAACCTTTTAATAGAGCCATGCAAATGCACCGGAAGTCTGCGGTATGTTCATCAGGAGTGCATGAAGAAGTGGCTGCAATCGAAGATAAATTCAGGTAAAGCAGAGTCTAGGCTGAGGTACACTTCCAGTTCTATCCATAGGCTTATTGGAAGGGTTGCACTTACTGAGGTATTTGGCTGAAAAGCGAGCAGCGGGGACAAACGGCAGTCCGGTGCTTCCGGGCTTTTTGCGTGTCTGTTGTGTCCGTGCGGTTTCTCGGGTGAGTAATTCCAATAACTGTATTTCTTGTTTAGAGAGCTACGTTTTTTGGGGTTGTCCGCATTAGACGAAATACAACATTGCAGAAGTAAGTTTAGATCTACTCTGCCGCTTTAGGTGGCATTTGTTACCCTCCCTTCCTTAAGGAAAAGGTTGCGGTTTTTTTCGAGACTTCTATAGCCAAGCTAACTGTTAGCAGCGATAGGAATTTGAAAATCCAAAAATTATTTTCAATTGTAACTGGACTTAAGTACTTAATTTGGTTTTTTTTAAAGATACTAGCTTGTGTTTAGGGCTGCTTTAAAACCGCTCATTCGAAAATTATTTCCAAGTGCATATATAATTCTTTAAGAAGCACCTCAGATATTTTTAACAAATTGATTGACCAGTTTATGACTGTTATCTGCAGTATTATTAAGACCTAAAAATAGGCGGCTCGATCGATAGGAGACGTGAAATAGTGTCGTACCAAAGGGAGACGCTAGTATCTGTTGACTTTTTTACTCGGCACTGGTGGACAGGCTTCAGAGTAGGGATGTCTTAGAAGCTTTAGCCTGTAGAAGAAATTTATTTAAAGTTTTCGACCGTACGTAAAGACATAAGTCCGCTATCGATTCGCTTTGTTCATCYTGTCGCTTACGGAGGAGCTCGTTTTAAAACCGACACTTGAACACGAAATGTAACTTAACGATAACTTTTTTCTGGCGTATTTATAGTTTCTTTTGCGTGTATTTGGATTACACAGTAAAATTCAGAAAGTCCGAGAAGCGATTTTACGTGACTTGCGGGAAGAGGCATATTACGTACGGAGCGAACGTGAGGCAAAATACGTGCGGCTGGATAGAGAATAAACATCCTATGGCATTTAAATTCTGACAATAGCAGATGTTGCTATGTTTCTGTTAGAGGCTTTCCTTTCCTCTAACCTTGCTCTGCAAAATAAAGCCAAAAATTAGGTGGAGTTTTTAATGTGTATGTGAGTGTGTCATATGTTATGGACGGTTGAAACTTGACACTGAGTTTTCCCCTTGCCTGCCTCCCCGCCAGGTTCTTCTTTGGAAGCGGTGACAACTTGTGAATTGTGCAAGGAGAAGTTGCATCTTAATCTGGAAGACTTTGACGTTCAGGAACTCTATAGGGCACACGCCAATGAGCAAGTTAGTATATTTTACCTAATTTGGTAAGTGCCGGTTTAGCGCTGGGAGGGCGGTCTTCTTTAGCGAAGGCAAATGCGTCTCCATTTTGGAAGGACTGTTAGGCATATAAATTAATGTCAACATGGAATAGATTTTTCTCCTCAATATTCTGACTGCCACTATCACCTTCCTGCTATGCTTCCTATAACTGAGCTTTCAGTAAGTGTTACATTTCTGTTTTCTTAGCTGCGGATCTGGTATCTAGCTTTGTAATCCAACGTCTCTGCCACATAGTTGCGGTGTGACTTCTAGCACGATTAACAAATTAAAAATAATCAATGGCCCATTGGTATTACTCTTATTATAGAAAATAGGTTATCTTGGAACTACTGATTTGTGTAGTACTTGAAAATGAGTAGATAACACAAAGCTAGTGTTTTTAATGAGCTCTATTCAGTGGGTTTTTCCCTATTCTCTGGGTTGTATTCTTATGATATGCAAAGACTAATGATACTAGCCTGCTCAGATGTTCAAAGGAAATACCGAGTGGCATCAATTTTGGGGCAAAACATCGGCGTCTAATTTTTTTTATGACCTCAAGCCAGGTCTTACCCTAGCAGTCTAGTTTCTATCGATTAGAGCACTCTCTGAAAAGACTTTCTTGAGAGTGCCGCCATCTTATGTTTTAGTACTACTGCTTATTGGTTGCTGTCACTGCACTCTAATAGAGATAAGAACTAGGAGTCTGTTTAAAAAAAAATTGGCTAAATTATCTGTTCGGCAGTGGTATTTTGAAAGTTTTTCATCTTTGCAGGTGAGGGAATTTCTCAGGTACTTACAACATCGTAATGTTCTTAGAATATATTCCTTTATATTGGCTTTCCGTCAAGCCTTGGGACCACTGAGAAGAAACTAGCGATGTTGGTTTTATTTCCCCAAGTGATGTAATGCCCTGACTGGCACATGCTTTCTTCTGGACTAATAATGCCGACTGAGATTTAATTTGTGGAATAGCCTTCAAGGATAACCGTTAGATTTGGGGCGGATGGAAAGGACCAGAAGCATAAGCGACTTTTCGGTAACTTAGGTTTTTTAGTATCACATTTTCCTAATTCTTTTGAACAACTACTGACAAATCTGTAACGATTCCAGTAAAAACGAATTCTTGTTCTACTTGAATCATATATGTGGATGTATTACTGACCTTCTGAATGTTTCTTTTGATCTCCTTTAAGGCAGACTATGAATTTATCAGCTCTGGTCTCTACCTTGTAGTGTTGTTACACTTATGCGAGCAGCGCTTTTCTGATATGTTAGGAACCGCAAATGAGGCCAGCACACGCGTCAGAGTAAGTATGCAGTGATTTTGTGGCAGGAATTGCTCATACGGAGAACTTGGAAGCAGATCGTTACCTTGAATGAACTAGGAGCTAGACACCCGAGAAACACGCTTTTTAAATGAATTCACGTGTAAAATGTGCGAGGCTTTTCAGTGCACTGTGTTTGATTGGAAACCGAATGTACTACAGAATTGCAGGTAGTGCACTACAGAATGCTTTTTGTCAAGGTTGTCGGTCATTCATTAGTTACACGTCGTCACAATTATTGTGAATTTATGCAACGCCGGAAGGTTAACTTCTGCGCGCAGTTAAGAGCGTCGGACTACCCGATGCGTTTAGKTTTTCTCATTATGTGAGTTCATATCACAAAGGTCTAGAACCTATGGTGCTCATCTGCCACAGCGCACCTAGATAGGTACCCGAATACTGACATTCTGCAACAGCCCGTAGCTACAGTGTAATTTCCCTGGCATTAGTTCAGGCTCCCGTTAGTTGCATTTGACTTCATTCTTGTCACTTGAAGGGCCCTGGTTTAGAAACGTGGTAAGACACCTTTAACCAGTAAGCATCGGCGTACTAAATTCTTTGTGCATGGTGATTCACTCGTAAATCCAGTACTCTACATGTTGATTTGATACTAGATAATCATCAGCGCTCTTAGTCGACCGATCTCCCGCAAAGCTGATTATTTTTAGGTTTTTTACTTACATACAAAGAAGCGACAGTTTTAAGCTTATCCAGTACATATTGGAATCGTTGACTGCTAGCGGGTACTAGGTCTTCGGGGAAGAGGCGGGGCCATGATCTATCCGATCTCTTAACGTACTAGAGTTCCCCTTTTCCGTACATATCTAACGTAGGGCTCGCATTTCACGGTCCAGTTCCTCTGCTACAAGTTTAGAGATATGAAAGACGCATCATCTAATAGTACCCAGCACAGGTTATTAGCTTGAGCGTCTCGCAGAAGATGTTTTTACTGGTTTTCTGTCAGAGGAGGCGTTGCGTGCTTTAGCCCGTGACGCCGCATTTTAAGCCGGCGAAAGCACCGCTTCTGGCGTTCGATGTCAGGCATATAAGCGAGCCACGGAAATTAATTTTGTCCGCCGTGCCTCAATATCCAATCTTCTAACGGAAGCGGTGATGCGGAGCGGTGGTGTCAAAATAAAACCGCTTGTCTGAGACTTTTTGTTCCTAGGAATTTTGGCTTTGGGTTTTGATACCACGTGTTTCTAACATTAAACTGCCATCTTTGCCTAAACAGTAACCTTGGTCTTAAAATTTTAGTAGTAAATAAAAACTTTAGGTGTACTTACGCATTTTTGGTGAACTATATCCAGTTACGGGTTCTGTTTTGTCATATTAGTTTTGAATTAAATGGAATGGAATTAAGTAATGCGAGTCCTTACTGTGATTATGTTTTTCTACATTACAGTCTTAAGAAATGGTTTTCGTTAAACTGACACTCGTTTATGTTTGCTGCTTTCAAAATTGATGTGTTTTGCAGACTGTAGGACATGAAGATGATGTCGCAAGCTGCTACCAGAAACATTTTACAGCTGAAATAACTGTGCAATAGCAATTTGAAGTCTAATTGTGGGGATTTGTATTAAATTTTGCATTGTAAGTTGGGCAAATGGGCTAGGATAACCGAGATCTGGTGTGAAGCTTTGGGATGTAAAAAGTGAAGAAAACATTGCTAACTTGTTGCAAATTTCTGCACGTAACTTTGCAACTTTTAAACTACTTTCTCTCTGCCTTGTTTCTAGTTTATTAACCTTGCAAGAACTCTTCAGGCACATATGGAAGATATTGAAAGTAGGTGCTTCCCCTCTTTACCTCCCCTCCCATTAGATCAACTCAAAACTAAATGAGTACAATCCTCCTTGCCAAGATTCATAATACTGAACGTAACTACTGAAAACCTTACCCAGCAGTGCTTTTTCCATCATCAGTAGAATTGTTCTGACGGGGAACCGATTTTAATTATCCATGATTAATTTCCCAACAGCACACAGTTGTTTAGACCGCAGAAGTGTGATCTGCGAGCGATAGTAAAATTCCTTACGAGTTATAGTTTGCTTATTGTAGTTCCAGTAGTCGGTAATTTTGTGATTAATGGTGACCTTCAGGTTGTTGCATTTTATGAGAGTCCTTAGTAGGAAAGAAGTATTTGCAATGGAATTTTACTGCACCTGGATTACTCACTTTTATTGCCATTTTTCTTTCCTTTCTTTTTTTTGGCCCTCTTTTCCCCTTTGTTTTTTCCACTCACGTGCACTTTTTGGTCACGTGGGTTCCCCGATCAGGACTATCAGACCTCGTGAATGAAAACTAAAGGTTGCCAATTTTGTCAAAGGATCGGTCTGCTTTTCACCTAATGGCTTTTTACAGTGTGCTTAAATTCAAACCCGCGTGCCGATACCTTTGCATTTTTTTGGTAAATACACCCTGATTCTGTTTCTGGATGTGATGAATAGGCAGGAGAAGGATAGTTGATTTACCTTTTTTTTTTTTCCCAGTGTGCATGTGAGCATCTGTTGACTGTATATGGATTTTCAGTATGCAGGATGCATTTGGAGTACTGTAACGAGTGGGTGTGTGTGTGCGTGAGAGAGAGATTTGGTTCAAGATTATTATTTCTGCATTCAGAGCGGTCAAAGATGGACTCGAGTTCTGAATTCATTCCTAAATTATGTGCATCTGTATTAGAGTAAAAAGTATTAAGCATCATTTTACACCTTAATTCAATCTGCATTTGATTCAGCCTTTAACTTGCAGGTGAGGAATACTGAGTTCTATAGTTATTATTGATGCACTTCAGTTACATTTCTCTTCTAAAAACTGAAGAAGCAAGGATTCAGAATTTTCTTCTTTCTGTGTTCAGGGATGGAACACGTTACCTCAGTATAAGTACTTCCCTGCCTGCAGACCTTGCTTAAGAGGACATATTAAATTCCCGTTACAGATGAGCTAACGTTTTATGAACCTAATGCAGACGTGTGTACCGACTTTTCTGTCATAGTTGACAAGCGTGTATTTGTCGTATAACTCGCATTGCGACAACAAAATCCCGTGCATGTGTGGGCTTTGCGTTCATCTTGCGTACGCYGAAAAGAACGGGAGTGGAGAGAGGACCTGCTTCCGAGTAGGCCCCGGCTGCATTAAGCAACATATATGTACATATATAAAAATTTAAGAGCCTCGGTCTATTTAGACTGCTGAATCTTTGCAGATATTTTCGGATCCAAATTGTTAACTTAGCGAGCAATTTCTTTCCCTGACGTTGGGTGCTTCTGTTGTGGATTGAGTATATCCTCCTCAGACCACTGCTGGAAATAGCCACTCCAAGCACTATGTAAAAGTTGAATCTCTGGCGTAAGTTTTCTTCCTCTGATTTTGAGGAAGAAGATTAGGTGGACACTGCATCTTGTATGTTCTGTCGAGTTTTTATTTGAAAATGCCGTGTTTTTGCAACGTGAGATGCATTTAAGAATTAAGCCATGTGATTACACAAGGTTTGGGTGGGTATTACGGTCTGCTATTTATTATTATAAAATTATCTTTATTTCCTCTACTCATCCTAAAGTGCTTTAATTTCACAGGTCTTTGTCAAGACTTCTGATCACACTGTGTTGTTCCAACAGCTTCTGAAGACGATTCTGAAGACTGATGCTGGTAGAACTGTCACACTGCGAGAAACAAACAGAATTGCTGCAGAAACGCCGAAGCGGCGAGAACGGTGTCAACGTGCATTTGTTTTATTCCTCTTAGTAAAAAGCGCATTGACTATTACTGTAGTTTTTGAAGCGTTGTTGAATTCAATATCAACTGCTGCACAGTGGAACTCGGTGGACTCGAGAACTGCTCGGCATGCGTGAGGATTAGATTCATAGAAAGAAAGTTCCCTTTTTAAATTATGAGGGTGTTGTGCTTTGTTTTGGAAGATATCAGATGCTGAATATTTAAGGAAGCTCTGTCTCCCTTTGTGTTTCCTTTTTACCGTAGTCAGACTTCCGGTTTTGTCTTTCTGAGTTTTGCTCCTGTACCGGCACTAAGCGGGTTATAGCGGGTTTCAGGGGGAGGGGGGGGATGTCCGTGTACTTAAATAGGTTTTGTTTGGRTGTTCTTAAATGCCTCTTTTGCAGCATCATATAACCGATTGCTTCCATTGTTAATGAACGAACAGGAGGACGAACGAGGTACCATAGAGATTGTTTGGGTTTCGGCTTATTCGAAGATTATTATTTAACTCAAAAAGCAATAAGAACTTGCGGTGGTCTTTTAATACTTAGTTGATGGCTTTTTTACGTACCAGTTTGGAAATTTGAGATTATATTTGATATCATGTGGCCGTTCCGTTACGGAATATCGCAGGCGTAAACTCTCGCATTTCGGCGTTTCCGGCGGATGCGCAACTCAGTAAAGACCTAAGGTTGTTTAGTCGAATCGGACTTTTTTCAGATCCCACCCTCACTGTTCAAAGCACTGGTTATCAATGTGTTTTCTAGTGTTGTCACTTCTTTATAAATAAAGACAAAAGAGGTATGCATCTCTACCAGTATTGTCCGTTTCATTTAAATGTGGATATCTACCAGAATTTATACTCAAAAATGTAGCTGTAGTTTGTGGTTTACCTTTACTAACGTTTATAAATTCTTATGCACATCTTTGAGGTCTTTAAGACCATTTTAGATTGAAATGCTTTTTATAAACGGTGGTACAATATATTCTGATACATGTATTGGAATTGTAATTCCTACAGATGCACGATAGTTTTTCCACGGTAATGACGTAGCAGCATAGAGTGCGGTACGTTGAAACACCATGAATTTAGTTTACCCTTAATGGTAGGTAAAACTAACTTGTGCAGGGGAAAGGATGTGCCTTACCGGCTGAAAAGAACACGTTATTTCTAGAGTTAACTTCGCTAGCGTTACGTGAGATGGCCCATCACCCATCCTATAAGACTTTAAAGAAAATGGCACGCTATGGAAATGGCATATTTCTGTGTACGTTCCGGTAACTTTAGGCATTAGGCGCCAACGTTTACAAGTATTGTTCCGGTAATTAGTTGAGAGACGGTTCTGGGACGCTCATCTGAAAAGCGCAGGTCCGGGCATACAAGAAAACGTTTCTAACTCATTTCTGAAGACAGTGAATTGCCGTTTGTAATAGAAGTTAAATTTTCTCTCCCTGCAGAGGCTGATTTCAGTGCAGAACCTTAGGAATGGCCTCTGGAAATTCTTTTTCCCTGAGGAAAGGGATGGGCATCCCTGCCTTCAGTGCACCTCCAGCGTGACCCACCTGTGAATGCTTTGCATCGGTTCTGTAGTTCCAGCTGGCTCCCCAAAAAATTCCAAACTTTATCCAAACACAACGTCACCCAACTCTAACCTTTCATTTGAAGGTATCTCTGTAGCTTATGATTTAATTTCTGTGAGGAAAGATTGCCTTGGCTTTGACACTGCTGCTGGGTGATGTTCCCAGGCTGGAAGGAAAGGGATTGGGGGTGGGTGGGACATACCTGGTGGAGGTGTGGGAGCTCCAGGAGGTCGGCACCGGGAATCACTGTCTGAGCCCCTCTGCAAACATAACATGCCGGCATTGCCGGGTGCTGGCTGTTGCCTGGGATATTTTTGGAGTGTTGGTGGGCTTGGTCTGGGGTGAGGCATCTCCAGGTTCCTGTTCAGAGCAGTCCCAGGCTGAGGGGCCACGAGCAGACATCCATGTCCATCTGAGCGCTGCCCGGGCATCCCTGTGCCCATCCCTGGGATGTGCGTTTTGCACGCTGGATGCCAGGAGCAGGATATGGCACAGCTCCTCCCCTGGAAATAGGAAGGACAAGAGGTGCTGGTCCCCCTTCTGTGGCTCTTGACCTCCTCCCACCCTGTGCTCCCAGTCAGCTGTGATGCACGGTGGAAACGGCAAGGAACATTCCCTGCAGCTGAGTGGGAGTCACTGAAGGCTCCGTCCAGCTGTGGGCTTGAAAAGCAGCATATTTATGCCCTGTGGCCTCCGCATCATCACTGCGCCCATCGTGCATGCAGTAAGGGCCGAGTCGATCTGCCGGGGTGGAGAAACAGCCTTGGTCCTCATGTGGGGTGGGCTGAGGGACCCGTGGGGCCAGGCAGGGCTGCAGTCCCTCTACTCTCCCACCCAGTCCTTGGGGACTGAGAGGTTTGGGTGGCAAGATGGAAGAGCCCTTTGGGACAGAAGAGACCCTGAAGCAGGGATCCAGATGCTGAGAATGGATGATCAGTGGTTCTGGATATACATGAATGACCTTTGCCTCCTTTGTGGATTATTCTGTGTGCTTGGAAGCTGAACTTTCTGCAGGCCACAGGTCCTTCTGTTACCCGGTGCCCATCTCTGGGCTTGGAGATCTCTGTGGTGGCTGAAGGGGAGGGACCCTCATTCCTACCTTTGCTGTAGGTGTCTAGAGTGGCTTYTGCCCTCTCCCCTGCAGGAGCCTGAGGACGGTCACATGCAGTGGCAAAGCACTTTTGCCTGAAGAGAGAAGCAGCAGCAGCAGCTGGTGGGAGCTTTCAGAGGGGCTGTAGGGGGGGAAGCAGGGGCTGACAAGCTCTCCCTGCTAATCTGGCGACAGCTGCCAGGTGCTCCCTGAGTAGCAGAATGCAGACTCAGGTGTGTAAAGGAATAGTTTGGTATCTTAAATAAACTGTTTATAGACCGTCAAACCCAGTTCTSAAGGATCTGTGTCTGCTTTATGGGTGGTGTTGCACCCTCCTGCCTGGGCTCCCAGTATCACCCTTGCTGTGTGCTGCTGGTCTAACTGGTGCCAAGGAGCTGGGCTTGGTCCTCTCTGGCTCTGGGGTAACTAGCCTAGTGCTAGGGAGTTATAAAAGCAAGGATGCGCATGCTAGCCCCACGCCCCACAGTCACTTTTCCAGCTGCACAGCGCTTTCTGTTCCAGCCCTGTTTTTTGTCTGAGATCCTGCCCCAGAGTGTTTGTTTCAGCCCTGAGCCTGTCCCAGAGGCTTTATGCCAGCTGCTGTCCTCCAATGACTGCAGCTCGTGCTGCCCATACTAAGCACCCCAGAGTCTTCATTTCAGATCGAGCTCTGTGCTGCTTTGCCTGCGGCTCTGCTGTCCCAATTCCCTCAGGCCTGAGACGTTTGTTTTGCCTCCAGCTCTGCCTTGTCTCATCTCCACAGCCACAATTTTTGTTTGGCCTCCAGCCCCGGGGTCTGTATTTCAGGCAAGCCAGGGGATTTTATTTCAGCTCCCCAGTCAGAGTTTCAGCCCCAGCTCTGCATCATGTCCCCACGATCTTCATAAACACCTCCGTGAAATGCCAGCCCTCCGGTCACTACATCAGCTCTACTCGATTCCAGCTCCACGTCTCCCAGAGCTTTCTTTCCCTGCCAGCTCTGCATCTCCCCGCTACGGCCAGCTAAAGCTGCTCGTGCATCAGAACACGATGTTTATTTCATGCCTGTGAGGTCTGTGAAGCTTCAGCCTCAGCTCTGAACTGCACATTCCCGCTCCGGCCCTCTCTGCCGTGGCGTTGGGTTTGCGAGCGGGGGGCYGAGAGCGACTCCAAAACGCGCCAATCCCGGCCCGCCTTTCTCCGCGCTGCCCAATCACAGACGACCTTTCAATCGGGGCGCGGCGCAGCCGAGCTCAGCCCTCAGCCCGGCCCCTCTCCCCGTTCGCCTGAGGCGCCGCTCCCGCCGTCGCCGCCGCCGCCGCTTCGGGAGCCGCGACCCCGCTGCCGCAGCCCCGGCAGGTGCTGTTGGGGCCCGGGAACGGCGGGCGGGAACTCCCCGTTCACGTCTCGGGCGGGAGTTCTCCCCGAGAAAGGGGCGCGGGACGGAGGGGGCGGGATGGGAACGGAATCCGGAGCAGCGCGGACGGCGCGACCCGGGCCGGAGGGGACAGCAGGGTCTCGCGGAAACGGGCGGGCTGGGATTGGTGGGATCGGCGCTGCGTCGGGCTGTGATTGGCTGGGCCGGCCCGGCCGCGGGTATAAATACCGTGCGCAGCGGGGGTTTGGGGTGTCAGTTCGGCGGCGGTGGGACTGGGAGCGGCGGTGGGACTGGGAGCGGCGGGCGGAGGTGCCGGTGCGCGAGCCGAGGAGCGCGGCTGCAGATCCGGGGAGCGTCGGTGAGCACGGGCGCGACTACCGCGTTAATCTGTGCCGGAGCTGGGGCCGGCGCTGTCTTGGGGCAGCGGCGCCGGTTGTGCCCTGCGAGGCTCGGGTAGCGGTGGTGGCACCTGGAGAACCGGCTGCTGCTACCGGGGCCGGGGGAAAGTGCTTCACGAGGGTTTCGGTTTTAAAGTACCAAAACATAAGCAATAAACTTTTTTCGGTGCTTTTCTTTTGGTTTTTGTGCGAGTGGCTTTGTTTTGTTGTGTTGTTTTTGTTTGGTTTTGATATTGTTTTAAAATATGCTTTTGTTTAATTTCCAATTATTATTTTCTTAACTAGTTGCTTGATTATTGTACTCATTTTATATTGTATTTATATTTGTATTGTATTGTGTTATATTTATTCTATTGTATTATATTGTTATATTTATATTATATTTATTATATTTGTTTCTATTATATTGTTTATATTATATTGTTTACATGTATATTATATTTTATATTGTATTACTGTAGTACTACGTTATTGTAGTTTTAGTCTGTTGAACCTTTTACTACATATTTGATAATTAAAACTTGTATGGCTGTGGCTGAATCACCGAGGCCGTAGTAGAYAAAGGSCCAGAGTGTGGAATATGGACCTGTGGACTAGAGTCAGGCCCAAAGTGATGTGGACAAGTGCTGGGGCTGGAGCTGGATAAATCCCGTGGGAGGAGGGGATGGAGCTGCAGTTCAGGGRCTACAGGAAGTGCCTGTGGGGTTGCMAGCTCCTGCCCTGTGGTAGCAAGCACCAGCTGAGGGTGTGGGGGCTCCGAGGGCTCTGGGGCCTGAGAAGCAGCCCAAGGCCCCTTTTTGGGATGGGGAAGCAGAG